GATCGCGAATTTGAGAAGATCGCGAATTCTCCCTCATATGAGGGGATCGCGAATTCTTCCTCATATGAGGGGATTGCGAATTCTCCCTCATATGAGGGGATCGCGAATTTGAGAGAATCGCAAATTCTCTCTCATATGAGGGGATCGCGAATTTGAGGGAATTGCGAATTCTCCCTCATATGGGGGGATCGCGAATTTGAGGAAATCGCGAATTCTCCCTCATATGAGGGGATCGCGAATTTGAGGGAATTGCGAATTCTCCCTCATATGAGGGGATCGCGACTTTGAGGGGATTGCGAATTCTCCCTCATATGAGGGAATTGCGAATTTGAAAGGATTGCGAATTCTCCCTCATATGAGGGGATCGCGAATTTGAGGGGATTGCAAATTCTCCCTCATATGAGGGAATCGCGAATTTGAGGGAATCGCGAATTCTCCCTTATATGAAGGGATCGCGAATTTGAGAAGATCGCGAATTCTCCCTCATATGAGGGGATCGCGAATTCTCCCTCATATGAAAAAATCGCGAATTCTCCCCCATATGAGGGAATCGCGAATTTGAGAGGATCGCAAATTCTCTCTCATGAGGGGATCGCGAATTTGAGGAAATTGCGAATTCTTCCTCATATGAAGGGATCGCGAATTTGAGGGGATTGCGAATTCTCCCTCATATGAGGGGATCGCGAATTTGAAAGGATTGCGAATTCTCTTTCATATGAGGGGATCGCGAATTTGAGGGGATTGCGAATTCTCCCTCATATGAGGGGATCGCGAATTTGAGGGGATTGCGAATTCTCCCTCTTATGAGGGGATCCCGAATTTGAGGGGATCGTGAATTCTCCCTCATATGAGGGGATCGCGAATTTGAGGGGATCGCGAATTCTCCCTCATATGAGGGGATCGCGAATTTGAGGAGATCGCGAATTCTCCCTCATATGAGGGGATCGCGAATTTGAGGGGATCGCGAATTCTCCCTCATATGAGGGGATCGCGAATTTGAGGGGATCGCG